GTGCCATCTTTCATTTGCTTGACTTGGAGTCCCAAAAAGAATGTAAGCTCACCCATCATGGACATCTCAAATTCACTTGTCATTAACGTTGAGAATTCCTTGCACAAAGACTCGTTAGTAGCACCGAATATAATGTCGTCTACATAAACTTGAACCAAAAGGATGTTATTGTTTTTACTCTTGATAAAAAGTGTAGTGTCAACCTTTCCCCTTTGGAAACCACTATCCAAAAAAAATTTACTCAAACGTTCGTACCAAGCACGTGGTGCTTGTTTAAGACCGTAGAGTGCTTTCTTGAGTTTGAAGACGTGATCGGGAAACTCAAAGTCCTCAAACCCCGGGGGCTGGTCAACATACACTTCCTCTTGAATAAAACCATTGAGGAAGGCACTCTTAACATCCATTTGATAAAGCTTAAAATCCATAGACGAAGCAAAAGCAAGAAGTAAACGAATAGCTTCTAAACGTGCTACAGGTGCATAAGTTTCTTCGAAATCAATGCCTTCTTCTTGATTGTAGCCTTTAGCTACGAGCCTAGATTTGTTTCTAGTGATTATTCCATTTTCATCGAGTTTGTTACGGAACACCCATTTCGTACCAATAACCGTACGATCATCAGGTCTTGGCACCAATTCCCAAACGTCATTTCGTTTGAATTGGTTTAGCTCCTCTTGCATAGCCAAGGTCCAATGTTCATCGTTTATTGCTTCGGAAATGGTTGTAGGTTCAATTTGAGATACGAAAGCCATGTGTCCTACGGTGTCCCTAAGAGAGTTACGAGTACTTACCCCGCGGTTGATGCTGCCGATTACCTGGTCAAGTGGATGGTTCCTGTGCGTTCTCCAAGCTATGGGAAGCTCGGTTGTTTCTTTTTCGTGTTCCTCTTGTCCTTCTTCTTCCTCCTGATTTTCTTCCTCACCTTGGTTAGTCGTTTGAGGTATCTCCTCAGTTTGCGACTGTGTGTTGATGTATATTCCGGTGTTGTCTTCATCGTCATCAACATGTATTCTTTCTAATGATTCTGCAAGATCATCACAAATCTCCTTTCTCGCCAAGCGAGGGTTATCTTCGGAGAATACAACGTGAGGAGACTCCTCAATAGTCAAAGTACGTTTATTGAAGACTCTATAGGCCTTGCTATGTAATGAGTAACCCAGAAAAATTCCTTCATCCGACTTGGCATCAAATTTGCCTAAATTGTCTTTGCCATTGTTGTGAATAAAACATTTGCAGCCAAAGACTCGAAGATGGGAGAGGTTTGGCTTTCTCCCTATGTATAGCTCATAGGGCGTTTTCATGAGTATCGGTCGAATGACGGCTCGATTTAACACGTAGCTCGCGGTACTCACGGCATCTGCCCAAAAATACTTAGGGATTTTTGCCTCATTGATCATAGTTCTAGCCATCTCTTCGAGACATCTATTTTTACGTTCCACCACTCCATTTTGTTGTGGTGTACGTGTGGCTGAGAAGTTTTGATCAATGCCAAGTTCGTCACACAAATCTGAAAACAGATTTCGTTCAAACTCTCCCCCATGGTCGCTTCTTATGGCTACTATGGTTGTCTCTTTTTCATTTTGAACTTTCTTTAAGAAATTTTTGAAAACATGAAATGCCTCACTTTTATGAGTTAGAAACAAGGTCCATGTAAACCTAGAGTAGTTATCGACAATCACAAATGCAAAGTAATTGCCACCAAAACTTTTCGTTCTAGAGGGACCAAAGAGATCCATGTGCAAAAGTTGAAGCGGTCTAGACATTGAAACAACGTTTTTAGACTTAAACGAAGCCCGAACTTGCTTCCCCTTTTGACATGCATCACATATGGTGTCTTTTTCAAACTTAAGTTTTGGGATGCCAATTACTAAGTCTTGTGAAACCAATTTGTTCAAAAGGTTCATGTTCATATGAGCTACCCTTCGGTGCCATAGCCAAGTGTCTTCCTCTTTACTCATGAGGCACTTAGCAAAGCCGGAAGGAGATTTGTCTAAGTTAACCATATAAATGTTATCGATTCTATCACCACGTAGAATGACCTTATTGTCACTAAGGCGTTCTACAGTGCATGATTTTGAATCGAAGGTCACACGGTTTCCCTTGTCACATAATTGACTTATGCTCAAGAGATTGTGTTTAAGACCTTTGACTAGCAAGACATTATCTATAGAGGAGTCTTCGGACTTACCTACTGAACCGACGCCAATAATTTTTCCCTTGCTATTATCTCCAAAGACTATGTTTCCTCCTTTAGCGGGTTTGATTTGTAGGAACTTGGATGCATCTCCGGTCATGTGCTTGGAGCATCCGCTATCAAGGTACCAAAGTACACTTGACGCCTTCAAGCATACCTACAAAGATGATTTAATAAGATTTAGGTACCCAAGTCTTTTTGGGTCCTTGAGTGTTAGGTGCAAAGTAGTAGTGTGATTCGTTTTGTGCCCAATGCCTATGCCTAGTAAAGCAAACGGGATCTATATGTCCTACCCTATTGCAATAATGGCAAACTACGTTTGGGTTGTGCATCCTCCTAGGTTGATAGTAGTTGCTAGGGGGCCTAACTATATTCATCCTGTTTTGAGAAAACATTGGTTTTTGAAAATTTTCCCTTCTAGGTGTCCTAGAATTATTTTGTCTATTTGAAAAATTATTTTTATGCACAAAATCATTTTGATAACTTTTCCTAGGTTGTCTAGCATGCATATTTTCATTCCTAGGTTTTGGTCTATGTTGTCTAGTGTCCCTAGGTTGACTAGATTTTCTATTATCCTGATTTCTAACTTTCTTATGTTGAGCCTTAGGAGGTTGTCTAGGTGTTTGCTCAACGTTTTTATCCTTAGATTTATTTTTATCAAAACCTATTCCTTCCTTAGAAAAATGCATAGTGTCTAGGAGTAAATTAAGATCTTTGTGTGGTGTATTAAACTTCTTAACCGTACTCTCAAGTTTTGCAACCTTTTCTTTTAAAGTTTTGCAAGATTCACATTCACTTGAAGAACTTTCTGGTTTGTCAGCGCTTCTTTTGCCATAAAATTTGTTTTCT